AAAAAAAAAAAAAAAATTTAAAAAAATAACAATCTATTTTGCATAATTATCATGAGGATTCAGACATTCAGAGGAACATCCAGATTTTCTTCTTTTTCTAAACATCCTGGATGCTATCCTGGATGCTTCCAGTGGATACTATCCATTATCCTGGCTGCTCATTGGCCAAGGAGAGTGAGCTGGGGTTGAATGTGCTCAGGGCTCCTTCCTTATGATCCTGGTCTCATCCTCTGACTCAGGAACCTGGCGGACCGAGGCTGTGTTCAGCGAGGAAGCACTGATCCAAGTTCCGAGTGACATCCCTCTTCAGAGCGCTGCCACCCTGGGCGTCAATCCCTGCACAGCCTACAGGATGTTGATGGACTTCGAGCAGCTGCAGCCAGGTAGGAACCCGGAGTTAGGGGAGCAGGTCAGGGTCTCCCAACTAGGGTGCCACTCACATCCTGACCCCAAGGCCAGGAGAACTTGCAAGGTGGAGGTTTTGACGGGGTGATGGACCTCTCACCCGGGTGAATGTTGTTGCTTTCACGTAGAAAGGTGTTAGCTTGGTTCCTAGGAAACATGCCGAAACCTCACGAGGAGTACGCTCTCGAAAACTGCTGCAGGGTCACATTCCCTAGAGCTTGGGATTGAATTCTGTCATTCAGCAAAAATGTGTTGAGCTGTGTTAAGCTCTGGGATACAAAGCCAGACAAGATAGACACAGTCCCTGTGTTTTCAGTAAAACGCTGAACTTAGTGTTAATAATTCCACTCAGCGTTTACATAGCACTTTCCAGTTCACAGAAGTGCCTTGACAGGCATTATCCCCATTGAGTGCATTAAATCTTCAAAGCGTTGCAGTGAGGTTGGTACCATCATTGGTTAAGAGCTCAAGCTTTGGGCAGATAACCTGGATCTGACCCCAGGCTTCACCTTTCCCTGACTGTGAATTCGCCTCTCAAATCATCAGATTTTTCTTCTGTAAAATGGAGAATAAAGAACATGGAGGGTGAAACACTACAGCATAACACTTCACACAGTGCTGGGCATGCAGTGCAGAGACTGTCCACTGCTTTTATTCGTCTTCCCTTTCATAAATGGGAAAACTGAGGTCCAGAGAGGTAAACTATTTGCATGAGATCAGCCAGCAGGTAAATGACAAAGCCAGGTGTTTCATTTGGGTTTCCCTGAAAGCGGAGCCTAAGACCAGGACTGGGTGCAGACAGTTTGTTTCGGAAGCAGAAATGAGGGGGAGTGGGGAGAGTGAGACAGAGATGGAGGCAAAGCCCATGAAGCCCGGTTACTGCTATGGGCAACTACTGCTCAGGCTGTTTTTTTTGAGACGGAGTCTTACTCTGTCGCCCAGGCTGGAGTGCAGTGGCGTGGGCTCACTGCAACCTCCGCCTCCCAGTTTCAAGGGACTATAGCTTGGGATTGCCACCACATCCAGCTAATTTTTGAATTTTTAGTAGAAACAGGGTTTCACCATATTGGCCAGGCTCGTCTTAAGCTCCTGACCTTGTGATCCGCCCACCTCAGTCTCTCAAAGTGCTGGGGTTACAGACATGAGCCACCCCCCCACTGGCCTGCTCAGTCTTGCTGGGGGCCCTCTGAAGACTCTCATAGAACCCACCACAGAATTAACCCTTAAGGCCGGGCATGGTGGCGGCGCCTGTGATCCCAGCTACTCAGGAGGCTGAGGCAGGAGAATCGCTTGAACCCGGAAGGCAGAGGTTGCAGTGAGCCGAGATTGTGCCACTGCACTCCAGCCTGGGCGACAGAACAAGACCCATCTCAAAAAAGAAAAACTAACCCCTTGAATGATGAGTTTTTCACTAATTCTCACACCCCATTGTTTAAGGGTCACCCTAAGGGCATTAACTTTCTGGGCTGCCTCTGCACACCGTGCACATCCGTGAGGCGCAGTGGCTGTAGAACTCACCCAAGCCACCTCTCATGCCAGTGAGGAAACTGAGGCCCAGAGCTGTTGGAGTGTGATGAAACATGGTGCCCAGCCACTGTCCAAGGCCTGGCTGAAAGCCGATGCCAGTTCCCACAAAGAGAAATATAGGTTTCTCACAACTATGACAGAGGGGTCCTGGGAGCGTTTGGTAGAGAAAGACAGTGGCTGTGACCAGGGACCTTTGCTGGAGTCCTAGTGCAGCAGATGCTTTGTTTGCCTGCGTCCCATGCCCTAAAGCCACCTCCCATTTGGGCTGCAGCTGTGGTAACAGATCTAGGCATTTCAACGCTGCCCACCCTAAGTACCCACTGTGCACCTCTCCACTTTCCTGCCTCAAGGCTGATGTGGCCAGAACTGTTGAGTCAACTTAGGATCTTGACAAATGGTGAGAATTACATTTTACATTGTGATCAGTTTATACAAATAGGGACATATATATATATATATAAAATGGAAACCAAAGTTTCGTGAAATACCCTTACTATGTGTGACATACTCTGTTATTTTTTATTCTCCTCTCAATTTTAACTTTTAAAAAATGCTGCTTGCAGCCAACTAGATTGATTCATAATCCACTAGTGGGTGACAACCTGTACGTTGACCCCTGGTGAAGGAGAGTGGGCATTCTTCTTCCAGGAAGTCCTCGATCTCTAGTTTCAGCCCATTGTGTGACAGATCCCTGCTGTCTCTCAAAAACCAGAAAACATTTCAAAGTCAACAAAGCACTTTCCCGGACATGATGCATTTGACTCTAATCAGGGGCGCTTTTTTTTTTTTTTTTTTTCATAGAGAGAGTCTTGCTCTGTCGCCCAGGCTGGAGTACAGTAGCGTGATCTCGGCTCACGGCAACCTCCACCTCCCGGGTTCAAGCGATTCTCCTGCCTCAGCCTCCCTAGTAGCTGGGATTACATTTTAAGGGAAGGAAACTGAAGTTCACAGAGGTCATAACTTGCCCTGTCTGTTTAGTTACAATCATTGGTGAAACTGAGACTCATGCCCAGGTCCATCTCATTCCAGAGCCCACATTTTTCCCAGCATGTCACCCTGCCTTCCCCAATGGCCAGGTCCAAAGCTAAACCTGGGCTTTGCCACAAAACTGTAGGACCCTGTTTCAGGGGCTGCCAGTTTCTCCAGCACAGCTCTAATCCCATTTCAAGGCAGTGCGCCTTTATTAAACACCGCGGAGGGGAATAGGGCACGGTCCTTCCCTCTCAAGAAGCTACAAGCTGTTCATAGAAATGGACCTATATACAACAAAGTATAAGACTAAGACGGGGCAGACCATGGTATGTGCATTAATACAGAGGCCCACAGAGCACTTTGGGAGCACATAGAGGGGAAAATCCAGGAAGGCTTCATGAAGGCTACACTTGAGCTGCACTTCAAAGGATCTACAGGATTTCAATAGGAAGGAAGAGAGGAGGGAAACATTGCAAACCAAGGAAATAACCTAAGCAAAGACCTGAGGACATAAAAGTTGGGAGGGTTATGAAGGCTATAAAATCTTTTCCATAGCAGGGCAGGGTCTAAATTATGTCCAGTGTAGATGCTGAGTTACCAAGTCCTGGGAGGCATCGTGAGTGTTGTGGAAGTTTAAGAGGCATTAGGGGAACAGTGAGAAACAATGTAAGCTCTGAGAAGACTCAGCAGCCAGGTCCTGGGTCCCTGTTGAGCCTGAGGACTCCCTTGCCTACAGTAGGATCCCTGGCTGGAAGCCTTTGATCTATTGCAGATCTATACAGGGCTTGATTTGGTTCTCTTCCTGGCTCCACAGGGGATTCTGTCATCCAGAATGCATCCAACAGCGGAGTGGGGCAAGCAGTCATCCAGATCGCCGCAGCCCTGGGCCTAAGAACCATCAATGTGGTCCGAGACAGGTGTGTGGGGAGGAGGCTTCATCCCAGACCACGACTTCGGCCTTTCCCACCTCCCATCCCTGCAGTGCCCACTTGTACACCAGAGGGCGCCCTTGCATAAGCATAAACTGGCCTTAGGTGTCACTAACAGAGTTGGTGGCTGAAACAGATGAGTCAGCCCTAAGAAATGAAGTCCAGCTGGCTTTTGGTGATAGGATGAGTGAATCTGAAATGTAAAGAGAGGGCAGGAAGGAGGTGGAGACTGCTCTTACTGAACAGCTAAGACTTTCTGAGACTCTTGGCTTGTGATAACCTCATGTTTTCAAAACCCCAGTTCATATTTGGGAATGTTTTGAGCTGTATTATTCTTTCTGTGAACCGTCTAACCCAAGGCCCCTTTACCCTTGCTTTTGTGTGGTACTTGGAAGTGCACTAAATACAGACAGGAAGGAGACAGAGGCAGGTTTATCATCTGTCTTTTACAGATGAGGAAACTGAAGTTTCAGAGAGCAGCTTGCCCTGGAAGACACAGCAAGTCAGTAACAGACTCGGTTTCCTCACTCTCCATCGTATCGTCCAGTTTCTCTAAGCCTCACTGTTCATGAATGTGGCTGTGGCTGTCATGGAAGCCCAGTCTTAGTATAATTGACACCAGCTTCAGTTCCTCACTTGTACTAACAAAAATCATTCCGTTTGCCTTAACCAAAGAGACCCAGGACCACTCCCGGACTAGAGTGTGTGTGCACAACACTCTGAAGAGCCCTTGAAAAGATGGGGAAGTGGAGTTTGTCTTTTCAGAGGAAGAAATCAGGAAGTTAAGTGACTTCTCCCTGGGCACAGATGGCTTCTAGCACTATTGAGCTGTCAGGGCCTGTGGAAGCCACCCAGTCTCACTCTGTTTCCAGTGAGGAGACAGCCAAGAGCTATTGAAGCCGGATGAAATTAGGTGGCTGGTCCCTGCTCAAGCCTGGCTTAAACCTAACCCCAGCTTCCTGCAAAAAGACGCATGGGTTCTCCCAGCTGTGGTAGAGGGGTCCTGGGAGACTTTGGTGGAAAAAGCCGGCAGATGTGACCAGGGAACTATATTTGGTTTCCAGACCTGATATCCAGAAGCTGAGTGACAGACTGAAGAGTCTGGGGGCTGAGCATGTCATCACAGAAGAGGAGCTAAGAAGGCCCGAAATGAAAAACTTCTTTAAGGTACCTAGTAAGAGGGACATTGCCCCTCCAGTCCATGCGCATCTCCCTGAAGAAAGTTGACATGCATTAGAGAAGCTGGGGACTGGCACCATTGTTCCTCTCTGGAAACCTCCCTTTGCCTCTTCTTGGTTGGTTAAAGCCCTTTCCCCCAGCCAGGTGGCAAGCAGCATGCATTAAGTGCCCAGATGCTGGGAGGGAGGCACGAGAAACAGACAGAGTTTAGGAAACCCAGTGTGACTTGCAGTTTTAAACATTTGTGGTGGGCCATGTCAGCCCACATGTGTGACTCTAAGAACTGGCAGGAGAGGACCTGAGGAAACAGAGACACAGAAAGAGAAAGGAAAGAAGTAACCTTTCCCAACTACCTGCCTTAATTTTATCTGATAATTTCCACAAAAGCTATTCAAAGGAACCTGCTATCTGTTTTACTCAGAAAAGAGGAAGTGCTTAACCAAAATCATATAGTTTATAAGGGGGAGAGTCAGAGCTGGCCTCAGTCTCTCTGAACTGAAAGCCTCTTAACCTTCAAGAACCTCCACCCTACAACATGCCTAGTAAGTGACCAGACCCTCAGCCCCTTTTTACTGAACCATCAGGAGGAACCAAAGACACACACTCAAGAGCGTGCACTTCTTGCAAACATTTCTGAAGCAGTAGATCAGCATATATAATATTAGCCAAGTCACAAGGACTGAAAAGGGGAGCACACAGGGAGCCGAAGCCCACCAAACTGCATGCAGATGCCCTTTGCCTATTCTTTCCCAGAGAAGATGAGTTCTGCCAGATCCTAAAATGGACAACAGGATTAAGTTGCTACAGAAAAGGCCCTTCTTGGCCAGATGAGGTGGCTCATGCCTGTAATCCCAACACTTTGGGAGGCCAAGGCAGGCGGATTGCTTGAGTCTGAGAGTTTGAGGCTAGCCTGAGCAACATAGTGAGACCTCTGTCTCTACAAAAAAAATTTTTAATTATCTGGGCATCATGATACACATCTGCAGTCCCAGCTACTCGGGAGGCTGAGGTGAGAGGATTGCTTGAGCCTGGGAGGGTGAGGTAGCAGTGAGCCATGATTGCACCACTGCACTCCAGCCTGGGTAACAGAGCGAGACCCTGTCTTAGGAAGAAAAAGAAAAAAGAAAGAAAAGACCCTTCCTAAGCAGAGAAAAAGGTGAGTTCAAAGGCATAAACACATACACGCGTGCATGCACGCAAACAAAGGCATAAACATCTCATTTTATTTACTCCCTCCTTCTAACACAGCACTTGGGCAAGCTTCAGACCCCACATGTAGAGGGGGGTCGCTCCCTCACTGCACTTTTGTTGCTTTCCAGGACATGCCCCAGCCACGGCTTGCTCTCAACTGTGTCGGTGGGAAAAGCTCCACAGAGCTGCTGCGGCAGTTAGCGTAAGTCCCTTGGGCCTGCAGGTCCAGCTCGCCGGAACTCTCCAGGTCTTTAGCTGGGATGACCATCAAGTGACCGAGTCCCAGTGGCCAGTTCAAGCCAAGACCAGGTCAGCACAATGTCGAGTGGAAACTAGGACCAAAGTCATCCAGCTATTTGAGCACTGCTTTCTCAGTCTCCTCCTTTGTAGATGACCAAAAGGCCTATCCAGCTTTGTTTTTCCAAGGGACCCCAGAAGTAGACTGCTAAGCTGTCTGCCATAGAGGAATAGTCAAGGATTTATAACCTAGGGATGTCTGAAAAAGTCACTTAGTCCTAGCTTATTTAACCTTCCAAATTTGTACTAGCTTTTAAAATAGATTCTAATTTTAAAGGGAACATTATGCTTATTACAAAACATTTTGAAAACATGTAAAATTGCAAAGGAAAACTTAAGCATAAAAGTTTCCTGTTGGCTGGGACTGTGGCTCATGCCTATTATCCCAGTACTTTGGGAGGCCAAGGAGAAAGCATCACTTGAGGCCAGGAGTTCGAGACCAGCCTGGGTAACACAGTGAGACCCGATCACTACAAAAAAAAATTTGATTTTTTTTTTTAAGTTACCTGGCTAGGCATGGTGGTTCATGCTTATAAAATCCCAACAAGACGAGCAGATCACTTGAGGTCAGGAGTTTAAGACCAGCCTGGCCAACATGGGGAAACTCCATCTCTACTAAAAATACAAAAAAACTAGCTGGGTGTGGTGGCAGGCATCTGTAATCCCAGCTACTCGGGAGGCTGAGGCACAAGAATCATTTGAATCCAGGAGGTGGAGGTTGCAGTGAGCTGAGATCACACCATTCTACTCCAGCCTGGGTGATAGAGGGAGATTCCATCTCAAAAAAGAAATAAAAGTTACCTGTCACCCCACCACCAAGGGGGATAAGCCTTGTTGACAATATTAATGCATGTCCTTCATTCTTTCCTTTAATATAAGCTTCTAGGCCAGGCACGATGGCTCACGCCTATAATCCCAGCACTTTGGGAGGCTGAGGCGGACGGATCACGAAGTCAGGAGATTGAGACCATCCTGGCTAACACAGTGAAACCCCGTCTCTGCTAAAAATACAAAAAATTAGCTGGGTGTGGTGGCGGGCGCCGTAGTCCCAGCTGCTGGGGAGGCTGAGGCAGGAGAATGGCATGAACCCAGGAGGTGGAGCTTGCAGTGGGCTGAGATCGCACCACTGCACTCCAGCCTGGGCGACAGAGGGAGACTCCGTCTCAAAAATAAATAAATAAATAAAATAACCTTCTTGAGCTAGAGTGTGCGTAAAAAGACACTTCCTAACTAAGGCAGGAACCCCCTCAGTAGCACGGATTCAGCTAGCACATACTTGCTGAGCACTTACTAGCTACCAGGCACAGAGAGGGCCGTGGCACTGATGCGCCCTCTGAGATCTCACAGGCTAGATGAGCAGGCGAGTCACGTGGCCAGAGCGCTGTGGTGAGTATTCATCATGCACCGGACTGTGCAGTGCTTGACTTACCCCTCCCACAACCATCTAGACAGGGGGTGCAGTTCTAATCTCTGTTTTATACTTTTCAAAAATGAGGCCCAGGCCAGGTGCAGTGGCTCATGCATGTAAACCTAGCACTTTGGGAGGCCGAGGCAAGTGGATCACCTGAGGTCAAGAATTCGAAACCAGCCTGGCCAACGTGGTGAAACCTCGTCTCCACTAAAAATACAAAAATTAGCCAGGCATGGTGGTAGACACCTGTAATCCCAGCTACTTGGGAGGCTAAGGCAGGAGAATCGCTTGAACCCAGGAGGTGAAGGTTGCAGTGAGCCTTGCATTCCAGCCTGGGCTTCAGAGACAGACTGTGTCTCAAAAAAAAAAAAAAAAAAAACCGAGGCTCAAAGAGGTCAGGTACCTGGCCCAAAGTCTAGTCAGCAGGAGAGCCAGGCGTGACCCCACATTTGAGCACACCGCTTCAGCCCTATACCTGACAGCCCCGGTGGCAGACCTCAATCCCAATGTCATTGCAGGAGGAAGCGTTGTGCAGTAGTTATGAGTGTAGGCACTGGAGTCAGAATGACTGGGTTCAAGCCCCAGCTCTGTCTGTGACTTACTAGCTGTGGGCCTATGGAAAGTTAGGCAATACGTGAAAAGCAATCCAGGCCTCCGTCTCTTCATCTTTAAAATGGGGGTTTTATAAACCCTCTGCCTCTGAAGGGTAATCTAACACAGGGGCCCCCACGCCTCAGACCAGTGCCAGTTCGTGGCCTGTTAGGAACCAGGTCACGCAGCAGGAGGTGAGCGGTGGGTGAGCGAGCATGGCTCCCTGAGCTCTGCCTCCTGACAGATCAGCAGCAGCATTCGATTCTGATAGGCCTGTGAACCCTGTTGTGAACCACGCATGCAAGGGATCCAGGTCCCGTGCTCCTTATGAGAATCTAATGCCTGAGGATCTGAGGTGGAACAGTTTCATCCCAAAACCATCTTCCTTCCTCCAGTCCACGGAAAAATTGTCTTCCATGAAACTGGTCCTGGTGCCAACAAGGTTAGGGACCACTGGTCTAAAGGACACTGGGTGATATACAAATTGCTGTACAAATGATGGATGGGCTTCAGCTTTCTCATCTCTAAAACAAGGTTGTTACGAGGATTCCCTGAGGCAGTACATGCAAAATGCTTAGAACTGTGCCTGGCACATAGTAGAAACCTGGTAAATGTTAGCTACTAGTCTGATTAGACCAAGTGCAGCAGGGATACAGAGGAGAGAGGGCTTGGCTCCCAGGAGCTACTTTCTACAGCAGGTGGCAGTCGAGGGGCACTTAAGACCAAACTACCCAGCAGCCTCTGGGACAGAAGTACCTGCCCTAGGACAGCAGCTCCTTCCATTCGGTAGTTTTCAAAGTCTACCTTGTGTTGTCCCCAAATGTGCTTGAAGTCATCCTTGATCAACAGACTCCCAGAAGAGCCAGGGAGTGGGGAGGGGAACACAGGTTAAGTCAAGCATGTGAACTCCAGGCTTATTCACTTAGAAATTATATTAGCTTCACTCCCGTATGTCAGCTGACGTCGGGGTGTGGGTGTCAGACAGCGGGTACTGAGAAGGCACCTCCTGCAGTGAGAGGACGCTTGTCATTGTTCCCTCCACCATCCACATCACTCCTTATCTGTAGAGCTGTTTCCTCACATTGATTCTAGGAATGAGCATTGACAGATGAAGAGATGAGGTCTGGGCCATTTTCACTGCATCACCCAAGGTCGGACACCTGTAGTGAGAGCAGAGCCAAGGCTGAACTCAGGCCTCGAGCTCATCTGGAGAGAGCAAGTTTCTTTTCAGCACTTAATCAAAGCCTGACTGGTTGGGTTAGATAAGTGGATTCCCAACCCTGGCTAAACATCCAAGTCATCCAGATGGGGGGTGTGTGTGTGTTTAATATACATTCTTGTATCCTGATTCATTGGGTCTGGGATTGGACCTAGGAATCTGGTTTGTTGTTTTGTTTTATACTGAGACAGTCTCACTGTGTTGCCTAGGTTGGAGTGCAGCAGTGCAATCTCAGCTCACTGCAGCCTCAACCTCCCAGTCTCAAGTGATCCTCCCACCTCAGCCTCCTGAGTGGGACCACAGGCATGTACCACCATGCGCAGCTAATTTTTTTTATTATTATTTGTAGACACAGGGTCTCACTGTGTTGCCCAGGCTGGTCTCAAACTCCTGGGCTCAGGCAATCCTCCCACCTTGGCCTCCCAAAGCGCTGGTATTACAGGTGTGAGCTGCCATCCCCAGCATTTATTTATTTATTTATTTATTTTCTGAGATAGGGTCTCACTCTGTTGCCCAGGTTAGGGTGCAGTAGTGTGATCAGGGCTCACTGCAGCCTCACTTTCATGCCCTCAAGTGATTCTCCCACCTCAGCCTCCCAAGAAGCTGAGACTACAGGCATGCCACCTTGCCCAGCTAATTTTTTGTACTTTTTTAATAGAGATGGGGTCTCCTTTTGTTGCCTAAGCTGGTCTTGAACTCCTGGGCTCAAGTGATCCACCTGCCTCAGCCTCCCAAAGTGCTGGAATTATAGGCATGAACCACTGCACCCAGCCGGAATCTGTATTTTTCAACCTTCCCCAGAGATTCTGAGAGCAGGGTTTAGGAACCAGGGTTGAAGCAGAAGCACCATGGCAGGTTCAGGAAGGGCTCTGTCTCTGCTTTGCACCCAGTCTTTGTTCTCTTTGGACTCTTTAGGCGTGGAGGAACCATGGTAACCTATGGGGGGATGGCCAAGCAGCCCGTCATAGCCTCTGTGGTAAGCTGGGTCGGAGGGAGGCATGCCTGGAGCCGGGCCGGACACCTCAGCCAGGCCACATCCCCTGGCACGACAGCTGTCTAAACTTAGGCAATGCCCCGTCCCTGGAGGGGTGTCTGTACCCTTAAGCGATGCCTGAAGTTCTTGCCCTCAGAGCCCAGCATGTCCTTCCTGTGTCCACAGAGCCTGCTCATTTTTAAGGATCTCAAACTTCGGGGCTTTTGGTTGTCCCAGTGGAAGAAGGACCACAGTCCAGGTGAGTGCACGGCCCAGTGCAAGGAGTCACAGATGAGGGCAGTGCCTAAAAATGGCAGCAGAAATGACCAGCTACTGAGCCCTGGAGGGGTGATTGGGTCCCCAGTCCCACAGAAGGATCAAAGAGAATAGCCTTAGGCCAGCTACAGTCAGCAAATAGTTATTGGACTAAACTAGGTTAGTCTTAGGGGCACAGAACAAAACAGACACTGCCCCCATCCTGAAGAGCTGACAGTGGGGAAAGATGGATAGCAAAGTAGAGAGAATAGACTCTGGAGCCAGCCTGCCTGGGTTCAAATCTGCTTCCACACTACTGGGTAGAGGTTCTGCCTAGACAGTGGTGGGACCCTGGGCAAGTTACTTAATCTCTGCCTCAGTTTAAATTCATAAGTTTAAACTCTTGTTAGCCGTGTTTGACAGAGGAGGAAATCGAGGTTCAGAGTGGTTAAGTAGTATGCCCAAAGTCACCTCCCCACGGGGAGGGATGCAGCCAGGATGTGAACAGATCATCTCCTGTTCATCTCCTGGAGGACTGGCTCCCTAGAGTGGGATCTCCAAACTCAGGATGAAGAATAACATGGGATTATCCAAGTGAAGGGGAGGAAGGTGGTGGCGTGAATACAGTGTTTCAGGCAGAAAAAATCGAAAATCTTATGTGCACTGAAGTGCTTCCGAGCGACCTGGAGTGCTAGATCTGAGCTGGGGCTGAGAAATTGGGTGAGTGGGTTGTGACCAGGTTACAAAAGGCCTTATAAACCTGATTAAGGCATTCAGACTCACTGGGGTTTTTTTGCTGTTTTGGGGGGTTATTTGTTTTGAGACAAGGTATCGCTCTGTTGCCCTGGCTGGAGTGCAGTGGTGTGTTCACAGCTCACTACAGCCTCAACCTCCTCGGCTCAGGTGATCCTCCCCTCAGCCTCCCAAGTAGCTAGGACCACAGGCACATGCCACCATGTCCAGCTAGTTTTTGTATTTTTAGTAGAGATGGGGTTTCATCATGTTGCCCAGACTGGTCTCAAACTCCTGGGCTCAAGGGATCCACCCGCCTCAGCCTCCCAGAGTGCTGGGATTATAGGCATGATTTACCGCGCCCAGCCAAGACTCACTCTTAAAGGCAACTGAGGAGCCACTGAAGTGTTTTAACCAGTAGATATGACTAGATTTGAAGGTTGAATGAATTTATGTCTATGGAAAAACACTTCTCAGCTAAGGCCTTCACTTCTCAACTTCCTGTACCATATAGGGTCCTTCAGAGGAGGCAGGCCCAGGGAGGGGATGTTGGTGGCCTCAGGTCGTGGGGTTCTAAGGGAGGCCTGGGCTCTCAGGGAGAGCTCCTTTTCCTGAGCAGAGCTCGACTGTTCCACATCACTTGGCATGCCAGGCACACCCACTCCCTCCCCGTGCCTCCTCTGGCCTCCCTGCCTCCGCCATCCTTCTCCTCCCACCATTCAGTGCTCCTGGCTCCACTGCGGCTAGGTTCTGTGAGTCTGTGCCATCTTAATCACCACTCTGAAGAGTGGTCTTTGCCTGCCTGCCCCTCAGACCATAGAGCCACTCCTGTGTTCCTCTCTCCCCACCTGGACCTCACTGTCCTAAAGACAGGCAGGGACCAGGCTGCCTCCACAGCCACCCCATCCTTGGCACAGCCAGGACTCAAGGCTTTATTGGAGCTCGGTGCCAGCTCCTGTCCATAGGGCAGCCCCGTGCCACATCTCACCAATCTCCAGCTGCTGTTCCCCTGTCTGATTTCCTCCAACCTCCCGCAGACCAGTTCAAGGAGCTGATCCTCACACTGTGCGATCTCATCCGCCGAGGCCAACTCACAGCCCCTGCCTGCTCCCAGGTCCCACTGCAGGACTACCAGTCTGCTTTGGAAGCCTCCATGAAGCCCTTCATGTCTTCAAAGCAGATTCTCACCATGTGATCATCCCAAAAGAGCCGGAGTGACGTGAGAGGGGAAGCAGATCTGAGGGGCTGGGTGCAGGCCCCTCAGTCGGGGTTCCCACCTTCCCCAGACTACTGCTCTCCTCACTGCCTCTTCCTATTAGGAGGATGGTGAAGCCAGCTGTGGTTTTCCCCAGGGCCAGCCTTAAGGTATCTAATAAAGTCTGAACTCTTCCTTCCAAAAAGTAGAAGTCATCCCTGTCAAGGACCGTCACTCTGCACTGGTCAGCTCATAGCACCAAGAGGCCCCCTTCCTGCTTTTCTGTCACGTGTTCCCCCAGTAATCATTTTCTGACCACCCTGAAAGCAAAGCCTGGGTGGACACTGCCAGGGCAAAGACCAGTAGGCCACCATCCCTGGCTTCAAGCTGCACAAGCCCACAGAGGAGGGTCCTGTAGAACGAGCGCTTTGCTGTGCTTCTCAGGAGTGTGCGGCCCGGTCCAGGGCTTCGGGAGGATCAGCTGCACGGAAGAGTCAATGCCAGGCTGAGGTCATCAGAGCCCTGAGGAACGAGGACGTGGGGTCTCCACTCTCATGGAACTGCCGTTCTAACTGAAGACATAGACAGTATACCAGTGGTTCTCAACCAGAGGCAATTTTACCCCCAGGAGACATTTGACAATGTCTGGGAATATATCTGGCAGTCACAGCTTGGGGAGGAGGTTGCTACTGGCATCTAGCAGGCAGAGTGAGTACTGCTGTTAAACCCACCACAGGACACGCAACAGCCTCCTGCAACAAAGAATTACCCAAGGCCTGGCGCGGTGGCTCACACCTGTTAATACCAGTACTTTGGGTAGCCAAGGCGAGCGGATCACTTGAGCCCAGGAGTTCAAGGTCAGCCTAGGCAACATGGTGAAACGCCATCTCTACAAAAAATACAAACATTAGCCACCCGTGGTGCTGTGCACCTGTAGTCTCAGCTACTCAGGAGGCTGAGGTGGGAGGATCACCTGAGCCTGGGAGGTCTAGACGGCAGTGAGCCATGATCATGCCACTGCACTCCAGCCTAGGCGACAGAGCAAGACCCTATCTCAAAAAAAAAAAAAATTCAGCTCCCAAATGTTCAATGTTCATGAGGTCATTGATCAACCCTGCATTAAACAGTCTCACAGTAATTGCCATAGTGACTAATGCTGTAAAGAAGATCTGTGGGGTGCTGTAAGAGCAGAATGAAGATCTTGCCCTAGGCCCCAGGGTCAGGGGTATGCTTCTGTGAAGTTTGAAGGTGGGCCCTGACAAATGAGTGAGCTTTATTCAGGCCGAGAGAAGAGCTTGACATGTGACATATTGGTATTTGCTTCACGATTCATTTGCTCAAAGCAAAGAACAGAGGCTTCAGGGTGTCTCCCTTATCACCTGGCCCTCTGTACCCAGCACTCAGGAGCCTCATTTAGGACTCATTTATTGAGTGCCTAGTGTGTGCCCAAAGCTAAGGATACCAATGAAAGAAGTGCTGCTGGCCCTCAGGTTGCTCAGCCTAGTGTAAGATTGACCAGTACAGTGTAATGATGAGGTCACTGACATGGAGGTGTTCAGAGGGCCTTGGGAGGACACACAGGGGCCCCAGTTCTGCCTGAGGGTATCAAGGAAGGATTCCTAGAGGAAGTATCTTCTACAGCCAGTCTTGAATACCGAGCAGGAAACTGCATATCAAGCAAAGCCAACAGCACATATGAGAGTTCAGAGGCCTGAGAGCCTGGCACTCAGGGAACTGCAGTCAAGTGTAGCTGCTGCCTTAGACATGGAGGAAATGTGGGAACTGAGGTGGGAGACATGGGCGAGGGTCAGATCACAAAGGACCATGATGTCAGGACTTACCCTGAAGCCCTAGGGAGGCACCAAGGGATTTTAGGAGTGGAGCAATATGGAAAAAACTGGCTCAGAAGGTTTTATTTATTTATGTATTTTATTTATTTATTTATTTATTTATTTTTGAGACAAAGTCTCACCCTGCCCGGGCTGGTGTGCAGTGAGGTGATCTCGGCTCTCTGCAGCCTCCGCCTCCCAGATTCAAGTGATTCTCCTACCTCAGCCTCCCGAGTGGCTGGGACTACAGGCGCATGCCACCACACCCGGCTAATTTTTGTATTTTTAGTAGAGACGGAGTTTCACCATGTTGGCCAGGCTGGTCTTGAACTCCTGACCTCGTGATCCACCCACCTCGGCCTCCCAAAGTGCTGGGATTACAGGCGTGAGCCCCCGCGCCCGGCTGGAAGTTTTAATTGCGTGCCAATTTGCACACAGACTCCCAGCATAATCATCTTTTTGGGAGCATCTTGTGTGTCCGCTGGAAAAAAGGACTCAGCTTCAGCCTGGGGCTGGGAAAGGTCTGCATTGCCCTCTGGGGAAAATTTGCCACCTTCTGGGCTCAAGATCAGCCCCAACTCTTTCCTGTTCCCTGTCCTCTAAGTTAATGGGACAAGTGATTATACAGATGATCAATGCAGGCAAGTGAAAAAAGCCTAAGAAGGAGGGAAGGCTGCCAGAGGCCACAGGAGTAAAATTAAGATTAGGTTCTTTTAGGCCAGGTGAGGTGCCTCACACCTATAATTAGCAGGGCGTGGTGGTGTGTGCCTGTAGTTCCAGCTACTCAGGAGGCTGAGGCAGGAGAATCACTTGAACCTGGGAGGCAGAGGTTGCAGTGAGCTGAGATCGTGCCACTGCACTTCAGCCTGGGCAAGAGAGAGAGACTCTGTCTCAAAAAAAAAAAGGATTATTCCAGGGGAATCCGTAAGGTTGGGGTTTAGGGAGAGTGGTGAGCCTGAGTCCTGGTGAAGGAGCAGGCCCCTGGTGCCCACTCTAAGAGTAGGCATACAGGAATGTAAGTAACACCATGCTTCAAGATCTGGAGGAACATGCAGAATGTCCTGAGAACAGTGAAGGCAATGATTCCTTGTACCTTTAGGGGTCTGGAGGTGACATTTGGACTGATCTTTAAAGGATGATTATAATTTACTCAGGGAAGGGTGACAAGCATTACAGACTAAGAGACCAGATTAGGCAGTTGTAGAAACAGGGCATTTATGTTAGAACTTTCATTTTCCCCATTCTCTTCCTGAGAATTAAAACCTACCACTTTTAGGTGGGTATATAGTAGGCCGGAATAAACACCGTTTCTCTGCATCCCTTGCAGCTAACAAGATCTGCCCCAAGTGATGTAAGCAGAGGTGTTAGGTGTCAGTTTCTTAAGAACCTCTTTTTTTTTTTTTTTTTAATGGAGAAATGGGGTCTTGCTCTGTCACCTAGGTTGGAGTGCAGTGGCACAATCTCGGCTCACTGCAACTTCCACCTCCCAGGTCCAAGCAATTCTCCTGCTTCAGTCTCCCAAGTAGCTGGGATTACAGGTGCCCGCCACCACGCCCAGCTAGTTTTTGTATTTTTAGTAGAAACAGCGTTTCCCCTTGTTGGAAAGGCTGGTCTTGAACTCCTGACCTTAGGTGATGATCCGCTGGCCTCTGCCTCCCAAAGTGCTGGGATTACAGGTGTAAACCACTGTGCCCAGCCCAGGAACCTCTTTAAAATATAGCTGGCCTGCATCCTGCAACCTTTTTTTTTCCCTTCCCCTTCCACCTTCCTTATAGCTGGATATACAGACGTGATTCCTGGAGTTTACCCAGCCATCTTTGACTATGTTAAGAATGGGACAGCAGGTCAGGCGCGGTGGCTTATGCCTGTAATCCCAACACTTTGGGAGACCAAGGCAGGTGGATCACGAGGTCGAGAGATCAAGAATATCCTGGCCAAGATGGTGAAACCCCATCTCTATAAAAATACAAAAATTAGCCGGGCATGGTGGCGGGCACCTGTAATTTCAGCTACTCAGGAGGCTGAGGCAGGAGAATCACTTGAACCTGGGAGGTGGAGGTTGCAGGGAGCCAAGATCCCACCACTGCACTCCAGCCTGGTGAC